AGATATTGAGGTCACAATGGCTAAAAATCACCCCTCAAATCGCCCCGTTTCTCAGCCGTCGTATGTGCTAGAGCGCTGAAACTTATTTTACAGATACTAGACACTGTTTCCAGGAGCTACTTTTTTTGGTTTATTTCTATCTCATTCTATTCGAAAAAAAAAGCCAAAATACGAAAAGCACCCTAAAAAATGTCTATTTTGTCGGACAGTGCTTGCCTTGTGAGATCTGAAAAAAATCAGTAGTATTATTTTTTTGAAAATAAAAAAAATTAGCTCTCCTAAACTGTCCCTAGTATCTATAAAAAAAATTTCAGTCCGATCGGATGCATCGTTGCTGAGAAACGGGAGCGATTCTGTTGAGTTTCGCTGAAAAACCGAATTTCTAGAAAACTAATAAAGAAAGAAAAAATCGTGCTATACCCCTACGGAAATCATAATATCTTTTCGATCTTATTTTTAATATAAGGCTATGTTTGGGTTCTCAAAATGTCACCAATAGAGAGAGGACACTTGAAACCACATGCATAGCAGAAAAATCAAAAATCAAAGAATTTGAAAATTTTGGGTTCAGAAAGGGGAGGTCCTCTTAAGGGTACCCCCCTCTTTTTTGACCATTTTTGGTTCTGGAAGAGGGTATAATCGATCTGCTTGAAATTTTTACCATAGCTAGAGCATCTAAAATAAGCCTATACGTATTCGAGGAAAAAAATTTTAAAAGAGGTTTTTGCAATTTTTTTGGGAAAACTCTAGTTTTCCATAGGCCCGCATCGGGCCACAGTACGACCCCCATTAAATTTCATCCGATTGGACTGACAATTTTTTTGGAGATACCTAGGACTATATCTCAGAGGTAGTTTTGAGCTTTTTTAAAAATCTCGCTTTCTTTCTTTTTTAACAAGAGAAATACGAACAGGTGCGGATCCAAAATCCGGATCATGGCGTCCACAACCCTATAGTTCCGAATAGGAAGGTCCAAAATAGAAACGGTTGATTCTACTTCTGGAGAATACTTCCAAGAATCAGTGGTAAAAATTCCAGCCCGATCGGACAAAGTTAGAGGAGGGTCGTAAGCAGGTCCAATTGAGAAAATTGTAGTTTTGCATTACGCTAAGTAAAAGAAGAAAAATTTCTTACGATTACTATGAAAAAAATTTTTCTTTTAATTCAGTAACTCTGTGATAGTAAGGTGTTTAGAATCGAATGGTATGCCTAATTGCACATAACACTTGAGACTATCATACCTTATGTCCAACTCGAAACCGAGTTTTTGATCGAAAAAAGAGGTGGGTACCCTTAAACGTCTTCATAATAGTTTTGAATTTTTATTTTTGAACATTTTATATTTATTTCTTACCTTTACACATTTAGAAATATTCAATTTAGTTAACAATTCTTACAATCCAAATGGAGGATTTCTGATTTACTAAACTACGATCTAGTCACTATAGCAGTTTTATCTTCCTTATTCAATACTTTTGAGTATATGAATAAATTTTCTGTATACAATATAGCCAGAGTACAATTAATTATTGTAATATCTCTTCTCCCTTAATCGAAACGGAACGAAATGATTACAGTAGCCTACTAGTTATATTTTTCTGCTTCCATCCATTTTTTCCTTCCTAACTGGTTCTAAGTAAACTTGTCATAATATACTTTATTGTCGTGCTTTTCTACAATTTTAGTTACACTATTTGTCCATGTTATATGATATTTCAAAGAAAATAGGAAAATCAAGTCACAAGTTTATGCGAGGCAATATGCAGAAGTTTAAGTTATCCGTGACTAGATGTTTTTTTTTTTGTTCATATATTATAGGAGAGTATAGATCTTTGAATTTCTTCATTAAGACTTTTGCAATTAACGCAAGTCCTATTGTAGACATTCGAGTAAGCTTGCAAAGTACATATGGAGCAAACTGCATTGATAACGGAAGAATAATATCATGGACCAAACAGTCACACAAGATAGATAACGTTCAAGAAATGATTTATCAGTTTCGAAAGAGATGTCAAAACTATGAATAGCATTGCATTAGCTTTTTTTTCTTTTTGATTGATGCATTGGACAATTTTCTGATAATGTTGCTTTTTTTCGTAGATTTTTCTTTTCAGGTCAGCATGAAGGTGATGTAAGTCATTGCACTAGTAAAATTTTAAGCTTGCTATCTTTATTTCTATTTAAGTTTGATGTCAATCTGCTGGGCTGCAATCGTACTGATTACTATCGGTACAGTCATTGTTCTTTCTCTGATACCAATTTACATACAATCAAACCCTGCTTTCTTTTCTGGTTGGTAATTCGACGTTTGCTAAATTATTATTTTAATCTTTTCAATTTAGGAAAAACATCATTCAAGATGATTTATACCATTAGCAATGGAACACTTCCAACAGGTTATATAACGACGAGCCAACTCAATAATATCAGTAGCCAGGTTACAAATGAAGATTTTCATCTCAAGGCAATCTTTTCAAGTTTATAAATTTTTTAGTTGTTGGATTTGGCAAGGAAAAGAGTTGATATTAGTGTCGATTCTGCATTGGTCACGGGAGGAACTCAATCACACAGGTAATGATTTATCTTTATTTACTTACGTTAACTAGTCTTGATTGATCGTTAATATTAGATCGGTCTCTTTCCTTCTGACAAACAGTCAACAAACTCTACAACTTTATGGAACGATCCATGCACGTAGCGGATGTGCTCAAAAGTGTCTCACTAATTTCCAGAGTCAACTTCAAAAGAAACTATGTACTTTACAACTGAAAATGCCGACATAACTATTATCATATCAATTAATACAACAAACTGAATTTCATAGACTAACGACATTGATTTTGTTTTGGTTTCAACGATTGGGTGTGGGTGTAGATATCTTTAATGAATCAACAACAACACCCAAACCCATATCCCTAAATATATTTACTTACAAATCCGATTTCTTTTAAATAGAGTTAAACATAAAAAACTAAAAAAAGAACAAGAATAGGTAAAAGTCATAGGAAAGGGTAGATTTTTATTTTTGCTTCTTTTGTTAAGAGAGCAGGTGAGGAGGGCAGGGTGCAAAAACTCACCCTGTGGACATCTCCGTAATGAAATATATTGATAACTGTTTGTCTTATAACTAGTATTGGATAGGTGTGATTGTCTGATTTTTTTTATCATATTAGTCTTATATGTCAGTATAGGAATGTGCATTATCATTGATAAGTCAAAATGGTACAGTAGATAATATAAAAATCATTGAATCATGATATTATATGTATAAAAAGTACAGACATTTAAATATGCTTAAAAACTGCTCTCAAAAATACGTAGCTTTAAACTTTGTTAATAAAAATTTTTTTGAGGAAGAACCGGAGTCTCTATTTTACTCAACAGTACAACTACTCATAATAGAACATTAATTATCACATGCCTAGTTGATATATTTAAGATCAAAGTCGATATTAACATTTACGGAATACATAGAATAGATTAAACAGAATTACTAGTGTGTTCGTTCCAATCCTTCATAGGATATTTTTTGCAGACGATCAATTGACAGGATGTAGGACACATTTTGAATTTTAGTAAACAAATATGAATTCTCTTTTCAATCGGATAAAAAAGAACTACTGAAACAATACAATTAATTAATTACAAGCAATAGATCGATAGCACAATCCTAGGGTGGGTATGAGTGTGCGTGGAAACGGAGATAGGAATCATACCCACACCCACACCTACTTTGAACTTCAAAATTCTCTCCAATCCGATTGCTGTTCTGATTTTGTTTAAATAGAATGGCATGACCTGTTTGCCTGCATCAGGATAGTTATACACATGTTGCCACCAGGCTCGTCGAGCCTTTTCAAGCTGAAACTGTGCATGAGTAGTCTTTAAAAACGAAATAATGATACGCTCCAAAGTGGAAACATTAAATTGGTTTATAAGATGTTGATAGGAAGTTAACCATTTTTCAGGGTCTCGATAGAGCAAAATTATCTGAGCAGAGAAAAGCATTGGAGATGCGGCATCTCTAACAGAGATCTCCTTAGACATGCGGTATCTCTTACAGAGATGCGGCATCTCTGCTTGGAGATGCGTCTCCAGCATCATTCCTAGGCTCAAAAAAAGATACGTGATGTGTTACAGAGATTTGATGAGAGATTGGATGTATGTTTTAGAGAGGAATGTTAACAGCAAATTCGGTGTAAGATTGGGGTGGTGTGGAAAGACTAGTATATTGGAGATCAGCGTGGAGATCTCTAAGATCCCCGATTTCTTGGACCTGTGGCACGGTTCTCATTACAAGATAAACAACTATTAGGGCGGGTGTGAGTGTGGGTGTGGGTGGGGTGTGGGTGTGAGTGTGGGTGTGCGAGAAGAAAAGACTCACACCCACACCGCACACCCACACCAGACCCACACCCACTTCCTCAGCCACACTCACACCGACACAGACCCACGTCCACACCCTCACCCAACCCCTACGAGAAGAAGATGATATAATAGCTTGTGTACAAATCGTTTCCAGCAAAAAAATAAGTTTAATTTTCATATTAATTAATTATATAGGCTGCTTTTTTTATCAATTATTTCAAATTTAATTGAATATTATCTAAATGAATTACATGAAAAACATGATCCACCATAACTTCTTTGTCGTATTTTTTTCACCTACACGTGAACTTCCTTTACAAACAGATCGTGAAGCAAGACTCTTTTTTTTATCGTTGTTATGTGCTAAATAAGTTCTGCTGTTGGTGGTCATGATATGTTTTATATTTGCAATTGTCTTCGAGAAAGTTGTCATATTTTATCAGCTACTACCGGTCGTCTTAAAGATATGCTTGAAAAACACCGAGTAAATTTAATTTTGTTTTTAATATTAAAATCTTAAATCTTTATCAAAGATTTCATTAGCAAGAGTGAAATATTTCGTTCTTGATCAAGCCGATCAGTATGAAAAAAACTTTTCTTATTTCGCTTAATTTCAGCTTTTTCTTTTAAAAATGCTTGACAAAAATTTTGAACCTGATATTTGTAAATTAGAAGCGCTTGGTTTACTATCAAAATATGAACGTTTTACATTTATGTTTTCTGCAACATTTTCTGATGAAGTTCAAATATTAGCTCAAGATTTTATACGTGATAATTATATATCTCTTGTTGTTGGTAAACCTAATGCTCTTAATGAAGATATATCACAAACTATTGAAGAAGTGTCAAATGCATCTAAAAAAGATCGACTTTTTCAATTACTTGAACAAAATCTTAGTACAAAAAAGATTATTATTGCGAAATTTACCTTTTTTTTTGCTTAGAATCTGAACGTTGTTTAATATTTGTTGAAAAAAATCAAACAGCTAGTTATATAAGCGAGTACTTTAATGTAGCCCAAAAGATAAAAGAATATTACCCTTATGTAACACTTTTTTATCGGAATATTTTCGAAATTTGTCAATCAAACGATAATATGATTAAGGTTTTTTCTCAACGTGAAGACTAAGCAATATAGGAATCTAGAATCTATTTGTTGTGTTAGTTCAACAGTCACGATCCAATAAGATATTATATGTAAAGATGAATTCTTTTATACTTTCTATAAATTTGCTAAATTACTGATCTTTTCAAAAACGAAAGATTAAACAGTTTTTTTTCTCTAGCCGAGACAACTAGGCGAAAAATGATGTTTGTTGATTTGAGTGTCGAAATTGACGACCAACAAGCTATCTTAAGAGAGTGATAAAGGTTGAAACTACTTTACTTAAAACTTTCACAATTGACACTCGTTTGCACCATTTTTCTAGCATTCAATATAGGAAAGAGAATTACTCTAGTCAATCGACATGAATTTACATAATAATATTCATAGAGAAGTAAATACAAGGAGACTATTGAACGCGAATTGAACATTAAAACATGGAATGAATAGGTCGATGCATCTTCAGCTGTGCATATGAAGATATGGAAATGGATCGGTGACAATCGTGACGATCCATTGTCGCGATTGCCAAAAATCAGTGTTTTCTTGAGAAATTTCAAACGGCAAAATGGCTGATTCCTTCATTTCTACTTTGACATCGAGTCGGGTAAGATTGGATGGCAAAACTTGTTTCCATTCATTCGGATTGACCATTCGTTGACAAGATGATATCACCCGAACATGAAGAGTTCGAAGACGAGGCACATAGGCAAGTAGCCATTCGATCGACAAGAAAAACAAAAAAGACGATTGCACAGTCAGATGGATGAGCACCGATGGTGGAAGAGAGGAAGGACGAACAAAAGGTCGTATATTTGATGAATCATTAATATTGCTTGCCACGTGCAGATTGAGTCGTCGAAGATGAGGCGAATGAGCAAGAAGTATAGTGGCCACCTCGTGGATTAGATTTTGTTGATGACTAATTTGAAGATATTGGACTGTGTTCGGTTGAAGATGAATAAGCTGTGAAGAAAATGTTGCATTCGGCAAGATACATTGACGCAGTTTGGGATATATTGAGACATGGATATGCCAACGATTTGATGTAACATATGACAAAGAGAGATGAACAAGATTTCCTAGAAGATGAAATATTGCAATATTGAATAGATGATCCGTTTCATTATCCATGTTTAATAGAGTGAACGAACGAATGCAGGAGAAACGGTCGACAATGAGTTCATCACGTAGTATAAGCTCGCTGTGACACTTGATAGATGACCTAAAAGATTTAATCCGATGTGAACCGAGTGAGGAAAGGTATCGAATGATGTGAGACAAAATCCTGTTCGAAGGAATACAGTCTAGATTAACATCAATGTCATGAACATGGGTGAGAATAGAATCGAAACGAGAATTAAGCGATGAGAATGTGAAATATAGAGAATACCAATCAAAATATTCGAATAATTCCATAAGAAGTTCATTTGGCATGGATTCAAGTGTTGTTGTTGTCGAACACGAGTTCATAGATACTTGACCCTCTGACAGAGGAACAATCGACATCTGATTCTTTTCCATGTTCTCTGTTGTCGACATGTTGAAATACGATGATCACATTAAAAATACGCTCAATAAGTATGTGCGTCTTGGACGGACGGAAAAGAAAAAGAATCGACCGTTTATCTATATTTGGACCATTGTTTGCAAAAGGGTCATTCTATAGATGAACTATAGTAAGAACTACCATAACTGGTTTCGATCTTGCTGAATAGTTCATCAGATGATTTCTATTCTAACTCCCATATGTTGGTCGTAATCAGTGGATCGAAACCGATAATGGTAGCTCTTATTGTAGTGTAAATAAACGCCATCTGACCTTGTGAAAACAAACTTATAGTTTTGAATATCAAAACTTGAGATTAGAGATTGTAATTAATAGCAAAATTGCAGATCTCCCTATCTTGTGAAGTCTTTGATGACGAATTCTATCATACATACAGGAACTATACGAATACAAACAATATAATCAGGATGGGTGTAAGCATTCATTCACTTTCATCCGCATCCATTCTAGTAATTGCATAACTTTATATTGTACTGAAGACAGTTTCGAATTTTTTCTTTAAGGAAACAACAACAACAGGTCATCAAGAAGCATTTAGTCGCAACAAAAATGAAAAACTAGAACAAAAAAAAAAAAAATTTCGAATGAATGATTATTTCATTCAAATTGCGAAATTATTTCTAATTTATTTGTTTTTGAAACTATTCAATGTTGACGAAATAAATTCAAGTTCTACATATTCTTTTTGTAAATTAATGAAATGATTTTATTGTAGCAATTCATACTAAACAAAGAGATAAATCACGAACATGTTCAAGATTCAATGTAGCTAATATTATAACTACGAAAAATCTTATTCTATTTGTCATATAAATCAAGTTTTTCCTCTTATTGTGAAAAATATGTTTTTGTCATTGTCAATAAGTTAACAAGAATATATTTAAACAATATCTGTATGTTATGGCTATATCATTCTTGATTTTATTATTTATACGTTTTTAATGTTAGATAATACCTGATGATGTTTGTTTACTGCATTCATTGTCTAAAGTAAACTAAACAAACTCATTGGACTTTTCGCTATTATTATTGTTGAATATTAGGAAATGTTTCTTTTGCATTCTATATCTCAATCGTATATTAGTTTAGTGCAGGATAGTTTAATAATTCTTACTACTGTCGACGTCAATATATAATGAATTTCAATATTTTGGAAATATCTCGACAATGATAGTACCTAGAGACTTATGATTTTTCTTCATGTAATAGAGAAATGCAAGGATATTTGTTGATACTAAAAAAATTTTGTGGTCAATTGATCGAATGATCAGTAAATAACCGAAAATAAGTCGATCAATGGAATCCAAAAAAATTTCTCGCTACATTTCTCATTTTGATAACAAAATTCTATTTGAGAGATATTTATCTTCCTTTCCTGTAAGTTTCAAAATTTTATCTTGTTGCGTTGATTAGTTGATGAACAGAATCAATAAAACATCTATAATCATTAGAAGAAAAAAATCTTTTTTTCTGTGAAATCATTCACAAATTTCGTTTCCGTACAGGTTTTTGTTATTGTCTATTTCAAGAAAAATTTTCTTTCTAATGTTTTGACTGATTACTTCGTTTAACAAATTCATTTATTGTTGATATTGTTTTATCACCACATCGTATTATTTCAGAATTTATTCGTCTGGATACATGAGTTCTTTATAATATTAAATCAAAATATCTTGAATATATTCTTAATTATCCTATATTGATATGAATTATATAAGTTCTGAACGATGTTATTATTATATTAATCAGAATAATCTAATGACATATTATGATCTGACTGATAAATTTGTTTCTTCATTTTGGATTAAACGAAAATGGTTTTTTTACAACTCAACATGATGGAAGAACAAATTGTCATAGAAAGAATATTTCTATTCAATAAATCTTTATAAATATGAATAACTTAGATTATTTTTACAAAAACATTGTGTCACATATACACAGAATCAAAAACGCTAAATATTAAAATCTAAATGAGACTAGGATGAACATACACTTCTTATTCTGTTAAATAGGATTTTCTCCAATCTCGAATTTTCTGAATATGTGACAGTACTATCAAAAATAATATGTTTATATTAATTTTAGTTTCTTAGGAGAAAAAATTATACATTATAATGGAATACGGATGAGAATCATTATCCATATGATAACCAAATAAATTTAGATGTAGTCAATCATCTCTATGTATACACTACATTAATAATAAACTAATATATCCTTACGAGAATTGAAAAGATTAATTTAACTAGAAAAATCACTTGATGATTATTGAATCGATCATGATAAACAGAAATTATATTTGTGCTAGTAAGATTTAATTGTTAAAAGAATATATTATATTTATTGTATATAGTTCCTTTTAAACAACTGAAAAGAATGATAGAATAAATATTTTATAAAACATCAATGAGCTGAAGTATTAAAAGGCTCTAGTTACTTTTCTGTAATTGATTTTTGAAAAATATTATCAGAAACGTCGATATCCAATCTTGAACTTTTGCTTCTTAAACTAGGGTGTAGGTGTGGGGGTGGATGTGGGCGTACATTAGCAAAAGAAAAAACAAATCACACCCACTCACCCACACCCACACCCACACCCTTTTAAGCCTACAAGGTTTTTTTTCAGCTTTTTAAGGGCAAATTTTTTAAATAGGCTTTTAAAATGTTATTTCATTATCTGAAAAATAATGCTGTTTGTTTTTAAAAAATAATATCTAACAGTTTTTTGTTTTGTTATTTTAAATTTGTTTTTTCATTAGTCAATTTCTAAATCATCTGCACTTTTTCTTGTTAAAAAAACATTGAAAATATTTATAATTAGTAATTTGAGAGATTTCAAAGAATTTCATAACTAATACAATTTCGAAATTGACACAATGCAGAATATATTTCGATATGTCTTTAAAAAACAAGAATCAAACATGTGGAATATGAATTCATTTGAATAAGAGACATTAGAAATATATATGTTCTCTTCAAAGAAAGCTTTGAGTCTTGAAAAAGATATATTTTTCTAGTTTTATAAATAGAATATCTATTATTATGTGTACTAGAAGAAAATCGAACCTATCTCATTGAGACTACGACTGGTTTATTTCTATTGTATTTAACAGATGGAAATAAATAAAAATAGATGCCTTTTTTCTCCTATATGGACTATTGTTTCTATTGTTTTATTTGTTTTGCTATATGTATACGAGTCAATGCCATTGTGTTTGTCGTTTATATTTTCAATGATGTTATATCAAGATTGATTATGGTAATTC